GCTAAACGACAATGAGATTGCCGTCCTGGATTCTGCAGGGATATTCAAGAAGCTGCCTAACTTGAGGAAGATGTATGTATATATAGTTATTCTTTTAAATGCAATGACTAGATGACAGAAACAAACAGATGAGAAGAGATGGAAAAGAGGGAAGGGATGCCACAAGTTAGAGGTTAAGGGGGTGAAAAAATAGGAAAGGAAGAAAAGTGATAGTGGAATGGAAAAAGGAAAAGGACAGATGAAGATATGAGAAAACCCATATAAGCAGAGAGGACAAGAATGAGCAGGGGAAGTAAGATGAGGCTAAAAACAAACAAGAGGATAAGAGGGACAGAGAAATGATGGGAAGGGAAGGGTGGGCTGGAGGTATGGAGGAAGTGAATATTAAATGAAAGCAGAAGATGGGCTTTAGATTTAGATTTACAGTCAGTCCTTATCTATAGAACAACCTACTCTGGGTTTGTGTGTGTGTGTGTGTGTGTCAAAGTGAGATAGAGGAAGACAGAGCAGAGACAAGCAGTTGATTTATTGGAGAGGAAATTGCTAACCATCTAGCAGTGTCACTGATGATATAGATTGGCTAGCACTCATTTCCATTTTGCTTCTCTCAATTCCTTCCCTCACTTTCTTCATCTCCTAACCTCTCTTCTCCTTTCCTCTCCTTCTGTCCTTCCAGCCTCACATGCTCAGGTCCCCTTGCATCTGCCCTGCTGCTGTTCATTTTGCTCTTGTATACAGTCATTCAGGTTTCTCTTTAGTGTCCTATTTTCTGCTTGTTCCTCCCATTGTTTCTTCTCTTGTCCTCTATACAGCTGATAAGAGGAAGCACAAAACTAGTTATGAATGAAAGCTACAATAGTTGTGATAGTTATCAACTCAGTTATTGTCTCTGTGGCCAAATGCTCTCTTTTCATTTTCATTTTTCTCATTGTGTGTTGAAGGAAGAGCAATAGCAATCACTTTCCGTTGCCTGTGACCACTTGTCTCATTTTCTTTTGTGCATGTTTGTATGTGTGTGCACTGTGATAGTGATGTCTCTAAGCTGTTATCAGAATATCTGTACAAGATGAGAACATTAGAATGAAAGAGAGAAGTGTTAGCATTTATTAACTGACATGATTGATTACTGCAATTAAAATGAGAATATCGTGTATGTGTGTGATGCTTTTTCATATATTTATGCATGCAAGGGTAATCTTGTCCTTTTGGTCATATATGTTAATGACTTCATAAGCTATTCAGCGTGCAGTTAAAATAGACACAAGCAGAAAACCTAAATATACTAGCAGTAAAATCTGTAACTTCTTTGTCTCTAATGCAGCAACCTGAGCAACAACAAGCTGAGAGACATTCGTGAGGGCGCATTTGATGGAGCAGGTGGAGTTTTGGAGCTACTGCTAACAGGAAACAAGCTAACTGGATTGCAGGGACGCATGTTTAGAGGCCTCACTAGCCTTAAAACTCTGTAAGTATGATGTGCAGTAGTGTGTATGTGTGTGTGAAACAGTAACAATGTACTGCAGTATAATCATATTGGCTGTGCTCATTTTATATTTTATTACTGTAATCTCATCAGTTCAAATGTTTTCCCACCACTCTGCAGAATGATAATTTGAACAAATACTAATAAATTCTATATTTGTAGCCTATTATAAACTCATATTTTATCATTCAACAAAGTAAGAGCTTCTGATGTACAACTGGGTAAATGTCAAAAACAGGAGCTATGAAAACACCTAAAACCCAACAAAAATGAAAAACCTACATACACGATTTTAAATCAAGGCTAATGATAGCACATTGTTCCTCTAATATGGACACCCAACATAAACAGGCTAGCGTCCAATTAGGGGTTACAGGATAGTGTACGAACTCATGAGCTAATGTTGTCAGTGTATGCTCAGTAATGACTTGCTAATGCTATCACGTATATATATGACGCCTAATGACTCAGTAATGGTATCATGGCTGTCTCTGTATTATGTTAAGAGGCTCCCTGCTCCAGTAATAGCCCTGCTAACTAGGTTAGCCTGTCCCAGAGATTGCTAATACTAACTAACTCAGTTACCCTGTTCCCACATGACTGACTGTCAAAAGCTAATGTCATATCACAGAGTCTATCGTGGTTGTCATCAAATCAAATCAAATCAAATTTTATTTGTATAGCGCCAAATCACAACAAAAGTCATCTCAGGACACTTTACAAAGTAAGGTCTAGACCTTATTGTTATCAATATTATTACATAGGGAAAACCCAACAAATCCCCCTTGAGCAAGCACTTGGCGACAGTGGGGAGGAAAAACTCCCTTTAACAGAAGAACCCTCCGACAGACGCCGGCTCTTGGTGGGCGGCCTTCTGCCTCGACCCATTGGGGTGTGACAAAAGAAGAAAAGCAACAAGACACAACAATCAAACACTGATCAGGTCGATGTGGCTGGTGACTGCTCGTCAGAGACGTAGAGCTCCAGGGCCAGGGCAACCTGCAGAAAGGTACAGGGAGAGAGAGAGGACACACTACGGAAGAAAGGAGACACACAGTTAGTAATGTGTAATGGTGGCATATAGAAACATAGGGAGAGAGAGGGGAGGGGAGGATAGGGGAGGGGAAGGGAGGGGAGAGAAACTCAGAGCATCATGGGCCCCCCCAGCAGCCTAGGCCTATAGCAGCATAACTAAGGGAAGGCTCAGGGTCACCTGATCCAGCCCTAACTATAAGCTTTATCAAAAAGGAACGTCTTAAGTCTAATCTTAAAGGTAGAGAGGGTGTCCGCCTCCCAAACTGAGACTGGGAGTTGGTTCCACAGGAGAGGAGCTTGATAGCTAATGGCTCTGACTCCCATTCTACTTCTGTGGATTCTAGGAACCACAAGTAAACCTGCACTCTGAGAGCAAAGTGCTCTGTTAGGATGAT